CTTAATGTGGAGGTCTGAGATTCCTGGAGAAGTCCGAAGGCCGAGGGGTCAACCTATAGAGTTGTGGTGGACCAGAAGTGACCATGAGAGTCGCCGAAGTGGTCAATTTTCAACTTAAGTCAATCTGGTTGTGCTGAAGCAATCGCAGTAGAGATGGGCTACCGACTGGTAGCTGACTGAGAAAGCTGTAGAAGTCGCTGTCGAGCTGGTCCGGAGATTGGCTGCTGGTGTGCTGCGGAGCAATGGAACTGCAGAGGGAGCCACAGGGCGATGCGGTGCCGAGCTGTTGGCCTGTAGCGAGCTGGAGGGGTACTATAGGTTGAACCAGAGGTCGGCTGCCGACTTGTAGCTGACCAGTGGAGATGTGGAAGCTGTGGCAGATTGTGATGCCGAGGAGGCCACAGTGGGCCACTGTGGGGACTGGCTGCCAACGTGTAGCAGACTGGGTTTACTGTTGGTGCCGCAGCAGAGGTTGGCTGTCTACTTGGGTAACGGCAGGTCCGGTCATGGCAGCAACTAGCTGGACACTAGACAAGCACTCGATGTCCGAAGAGTAGAACAGGTCTGGGATCCGTGATTCTTTGAAGAATTCTCTAGCACGTCCAGTGGTGATTGCGCTGATGGTGGTACTGCCACTGGTGCCTGTGTTAGATCAGTGGCAGAGCGTGCTGCAGGATTAAACAGGATCTGGAAGAATGAGTGATTGGGTGCCTGAATGGTAGAGGGAGGAGCTGCATGAATGGTGGCCCGACCGTATCCTTTGAGGCACGGACGACTGTGATTCCTCGTGGGAATCTGGAGCAGCCGTGGATTGCGAGCCACCCCTAGCCCGAGCTGTAACACGTATGCCACGGATTTATTTTGCTTTTCTTTACCGCAGTTTGTGTCATACTTCACAAGCTTGTAATGTGCCTTTCACACTTTTCTACCAATATTTCACTCATGCCTTTCTAAACTTTCACTACCGAAGGAGTTACCAAGTCATGATGTTCTTTTCAAATTCATGGTAACTTCCTGAGTGAGCCTACTTAGTGATTTAAACGACAGGGAGAGGAAACTTTCGACACCTTGAAGAAACCTTCGTTCTGACTTGTAAGTAATAACACATGAAATGGCACGTGATAATACTACTCATTAATCCTCAACCCTGATGATCTGCATGCTAATTTACTGTCAAACTCCTTTACTGGAGCAGGTACAAAGTGTGCCAACTGAGGGAGATTATGTTGGTTTCAATAGGTAACAAGTAACCTATAATTGCATGCCCTGCCCTAAGAGGGAAAGGGATTTCAACCAGTTTCTTATAGATTGTGCTCTTTGTTTTATGACCTGATAG